CTTAAGCACCGTGAATAATCATCTTCCAGCAAGTAAGGGAAAAACTTAGGCCAAGGTCACCGAAGTCGTTATAAAATACATCACAGCAGTTATTGTAGGCCCTTTACTTTATTCTTTTGTATAAATCGCAATTTCTAGTCGGATAAAGATACATGATGCAGTGTACAGTCATCTGCATAAATATGTACACATTTACCAAAACGTTGACGGATAAGTACATACTTTTTTTTAACCCCTTCGGTTATAGAAGTTTTTAATGTTTTCTAAATGTACATGTATTTGCAGCTGATTGTACAGTTGCGGCAGTAGCGGCGTGATGATTATATGCCGTAAACATTAACGGCTGTGTCACGTGCAAGCACTCGAGCGTACACTCGCTAACATTACGTGGACAATAGCAATCTACTTCTATGTTTGCAGATTCTACTATACTATCGCTATCATTCTACTTTCTACAGATATATGAACACTATAGAAGAAAAAAATAAAGTATAGTAGGAAAGTCCTTACAAATGTATCTCAATTTTCTAATCACTAATTTCTAAATGAGAGTATTTGATATTACGATGTGTTGGTTTTCTAATATCCAGCCACTAAACAGACGATTTTATGAAGAGGCTCGTTATTAGAGATCATTAGAGACGCTCTCTTAAGAGCATATTCGTCATTGTTACTTCACGTGATATGATCGAGAATGGCGCAGCCACAGAGTGGATATGTGCGGGATGACGCGGTATTAATCTGCGTCGGGTAAATAAATGTGGGGCGTATGTCAGCTAGGAAGCGGCGTCGAGGCGGCGACGAGACGGCGGCCGTCTCAGGAACTAGTCACGACCCATCTTGGTCGCACTCAAGAGAAATGTCAAGTGTAATTTAGGAAGCCTCACTGTTATAGGGAGTTTTTCGACAATCTCGAGAGTATATTAAACACCTTGCAAACAGAAGCTTCTCTTATCTGTTTGATTTCGACGAAAATTTATGTCATTACATGAACTAAATTAAAAACAGTACTAAAATTATCTTATATTTTTTTGTTCATTATAAAATGATTAAAACAAACTTGAAAATTCCGTCCCCTTCAGAAAGTGCTATTCGCAACAAATAAATTAATAAAATATATTTATTTTTCAAATATCTATCCGAGTTAAACTATGAATGATTAACTAAATTGTCACTTAAATAAATTCTAATTTTTATCTCATAAATTCTATAAACGATTGAGGCGCCCTTGACAACGACTACTGAAGTTTTTGTTTTTCTTAGAGTTTGATCTGAGCAGAAACCTTTCTCAAACAACTACAAATTTATCATCATTATTGAAGCCAGCCGTAAAATTTACATTGACCTAAAAGTAGTTCAGTTTAGTTTTGTTATTTTGAAATAACTAAATTCAACTCAGTGTTATAGATTTTTGTAATATTTTCTAACATATATTTATGTTTGTAGCTATTTCTGTATTCTAATATTGTATTCCGTTTTATAATATGGAGTAGATGTGACATTTCGTATACAATACTAAATAATCTCCAAGGCCCACAATCAAGGGCCTTTTTAGAAGCAAAACGCAAACTCTCAACTAACACAAGCGTTATGACTTTCCTGGTTATTATGAAGCATATTATTATGAGCGTCGGTGGCTCAGAGGTTCAAGCACTTGACTTCTAATCTACAGGTCCTGGGTTTAAATCCCCATGTACATGCATTCTTGATTTTTTGATTTTCATTTGTACATAATTAATCCCATGTTCTTCGTAAAAATTCAAGTATTGTTAGTTATTGATGGTGACAAACATTATTATTTTGTATTAAATTTTATTAGTAACATAATAGTCAATACAAATAATACAAGCACTATCAACATTTAAGGTAAAATAAGGCATCATTTCTGAAATTATTGTACTCGACCATAATTGAATTAATAAGGTATTTTCACTGCAACGGCCGTTCAATTTATGTATGAGAGGATTATTTAAACTATCGCCAATATTGTTATCGCAGCTTTTGTAGCCTTCCATAGAGCTCGGAATCGAAATAACAAATAATGTAACAATTATTTCACTTGTTCCCTAGATATCGTCTAGAATTCAAACAAATATAAATCTAATTGTGCAATATATTTTTTCTGTTCATACTTGTAAGACTTCTAACTCGAATTTTAAACTCTTCTTTTCTAGTCGCCAAAGGCACGTTGAATAGAATCTAAAGAAAAAAGGCGAAAAATCGAAGACATGTAAAATCCATTACCAACGAAGTACACAACACGCTTTCTATAGAGTGCTTCATTTAACCTCAAACAATTTTGAATTTTTGTGAAGTCATATTAAGTCGCATGTAACTCTATTTTCGTAATAGCTTTATGTTAACTATCTGAAAAAGTCGAAGTCAAAAGTAAGTCAAAAGCTAAGTATGAAGTTATAATGGATGTTAGCACCCATCCATCTAAACTTTAATATTACTAACAAGTAAGATAGATATACGTTTAAGAAAATCCACAATCTCATGGTTCAGACAAAACAAATGTGATATTAAGGGAGAAAGGATTCGGGCTACGGAACGAAATACTGCCATTTAATATTGGACTTAACAAAACGATACCAATAATTCTATTGATATTAACGCCTGTCGGGGCAACAGTTTATCTTAGTTACCCTTATTAATAACGATTTATTATATGCTATTATTATTTTGTGGTTCACTAGCGCAATAAAACAAATTAACTGATAAATTTACTATGCCAAACATTTGTTTAAATCATCGTTACTATGGTGTTAGATATATTTTTTGATTATTTTTTTATTAATAATCGTGATTAAAACATTATTTTAATAAATAATAGTAAATTGTCATTGATCTGATCATCATATAGAAATAATGTAGCATGTGAATGTGCTGTGTTACCAATATTTGTTTTAAAAACTTTCTGTAAGTTTGTTATTTTATTGTGACGGTTAAATACCATTGTGATGGCTTATAACCCAAACTGAATCGATTTTGAAAAAATGTCATTATATCCGTCTTCTTTGTCATAGTGTATATAACTTCATTACTCCCCTATAGTGAAAATAAGAATTGAAATTCTAAAAAAAAAATAAAGAACCGAGTTTAAATCCCACTTGCCAAAACTTTTTTTCATTTATATCGTCATCGATTAGATTAGGTATTACGGATTTTTTAGTTTTAATTAATTAAATTTAGAATAACAATTTGTATTTATTAAGGTTTACAGTAATAGAATTAGTAAATCATCCTAGCAATATAGCATAAGTGATATCTGCAGTATGCTGTATTACGCGAGTGGATCAGATAGACGTGTTGAGTGTGTACTCTATTAGTAACGCTGCGGTCAAACTTGATTCAAGATGTGCACTACAAGGTGTAGTGTCAACTCTGGTATGCGGGACATCAATTACTACATGTTTGATTTACTGTACTGTAACCAATAGCAATACAAATTACACGGAAACCTCATCAATCTGTAATGTAACAAACCAAATTATTAAGTTGTATTGAAATTACACAAGTTATTTATAAGTTGTTTCTCCGTTTAACAATTTTTTTTCTATAAATTCATATTGACTTGGTTTATTCGTCATTTAGTTTACGATTCTTTTATAAATGTACAGTTAATTTAGAACTAAAGTTTTGATTAAAATATAAGTGACATTAATATCACTTAAGTTATTTTTTTTTCATCTCATAATTAAGTGTTCTTTACTTCAAGCTGTAATAGCACACAAATTAAGTGACCAAACTACATGTCCTATTACCGTTGTTATTTATAAATCCAGTAAAAAAATCTTTCCTCGTCCTCACGCTTCTGTTACAATAAGAATAAGCCGAGGCATATTTTTTTCACGGCGCCATTTTCAGCTTCAAATAAAAGTCGAAATAAATGCCACTAGACATTCGGGCTTTCTCAAGCAAATACCGAAAAAAATCTGTTTCGTATCAAAAGCGTTACTGTCTTTACTTATTCAGAGTTCCGTAGAATATTTTATTGTACACAATATCAATAGTCAAAATCACTGCCATACAAAAAATATTTTTTTTTGCGACCAAGTATTTAGTTTTAAATATTCAGTAATACAAAAAGCTAAATTCGCTCAACATCGAACATACGGTAAATTCTAAAGAACTATAGATTAAAAATGTTCAAGTTATTAAAAAAAAAACCACTAGATATAAAATCACTAAACACTATTGTGTACTCTAAAAGCAATAGCGATTTGTTGCAAAACCGAAGCAATAAATCTATATTTTTCTCCAACCAGACTAAAGCTATAAATTCCATACCGGAATACGAGCAGCGCGTATGCTCGCAAAATAATAAATTCTATGTGCCTCACGCACGCCCTTCTCAAATTCACAAAGCTATGGCCAGCCAATATTCATTGAAAACATAAAAACTAGTTAGACTATTTATAATTAGCTACAATTTTAGCGTAACATAAAATGTAGTGTGTTACCTTTTAAGCTGAGTTGGATATTATTAAATCAATAAAGATGTAACTGGCTGATCTCCACTGGTAAATCTATAATCTATTTCTGGCAGTATTCAAAGCTATGTTAGAACATCAACAATCACGTTGTGCTAAAAAAAAACTTAACAATTTTTACGTGTATTTCGGCAGTGGACACACACGTTTACCAAAGTGGATTTTTCATAATTTCGAACCTAAGATTAATAAGACAAATTAAATGAAAACATGCGAACATCGGAGTATTTGGGTTATTTGCAGAAATGAAATGGTATGACTATATGAGGCGGTTACTTTAAACTATTTTTGTGCGTGTACGATAAGTTGTTTATAGGGCCGAACCTTTCGTTCTTATATCTAAATGTTTACGAGCATCCCTTTTATCGACTTGAAATAGGTTGTAAAATTGAGTGGTGAATTTCATAAATTATTTCTTGGTTTTGTCGTCATAAAACTGTTTACTGGTTTTTCGACACAGTTTTTGTTATATTCTCTAATAAATGTTGTTTTTTATGTTCACAGGCGCGGTCTTCGATAAAACCACGGACGAGATACAAGAAGCGTTCAAGCTCGCTGTAATACAGTTCTCAAATGCGAACAGAACACGCTGGGAGTTTCAACTCTTTGTTGATGTTATAAACACAGCAGACGCCTTCAAGTTATCACGACTCAGTAAGTACACTGTAATATAATCAATATCATAAACACATTGATAAATAATGTATCACAATGTCATCATCATCATCACCAGCTCACTATAATATGTCCCCGACGAGGAGCTCGGAGCCTACCCGAACTTAGGGTAACTAGATCATAGTCAACCACGCTGGCCCATTGCGAGTTGGTTGACATCACACATATCTTTGAATTTATTTGCCGATATGTGGAGGTGTCATCACGACGTTTTAATTTACCGTAAGAACACTGGGTAAAAATAGCTTGTATCGGATTCGAATCTATATCGGTCTAGTGGGGGGTTTCAGATCTTTTTATATCGATTTCAGAAATTGTTTACCTGTTTATGGTATTTGTACCGGTCCCTTTAGACATAGATAATAGACAGTAAGTCCCTTGAGGCCTAATTTAAAGTAGTACATGATAACGATTTGAATAATTACTCAAAACTAACTTTTTCTTCTAAATTTATCTAAGCTTGTTACTTAACGTTTTTCTTACTAAAGACTTTTGAAATACTCTTAATTAGATTAATAGCAATATACAATGTATTACTCTCGCTAAAGTATTAACGAAGGATCTATAGAATTGCTTTGCGTATACTGTTAACAATATTGAATTGAATAGGACAATAGCTGTACTCCAGAGGCATGCTGCGATTGTAATCATTATTTACCCAAGGGGTACTAACTTATTATTGGAAACTACTAAAAATGTTTATTTTCATTCCCTTTTAAAAAAAAATAAGATTTGTTATTCGAAAAATTTGCAACTTAACTTAGATTTCACTTGTTTGAAATCTAACTTAAGATTAATATAAGACTTGTCATTGGCTAAACTATCAACTCACATCTGTCGGTTTTGAGTGCCGAAACATTATGTCGTCTCTTTGACATTTTGCACAATTTACATTCAATTATTTAAAAAAATATTTACACTATATTTCATGCAAATAACTAATTGTTGAAATCATAAATTAAATACCAAGTAATTAAGAACATTAAGAGCGCAGGCACACCTTTTACTAAAGTATCGCACAATTGTTTAGTCGCGTTTTGATTCCTATGAACTTATGGAAGTGCGCACACTACTCGATTTTTACTAGTGCAAGTACACAGTTGAATGGGCTGCGAAACAATTGATAATCGCACAACCGTTGTATGATAGTTTAGTCAAAGGTGTGTCCCCGCTTAAAGAAATTAAAAAAAAAACATTTTTAGCAAATATGCAATAGATGCCACATCGCTTGATTTAATAGTTTTAATTTACTTTTATAAGTCAGCAATTGCAGCAGCAATATTTGAAATTGTACAGCGAATAACACGATCGGAAGGCGAACGAAGGAACAGACAAAATGACTAATTAATTTTAAAAAGCTACAAGTTAATTAAAAGCTAAAGTTTCCACTTCATGAACATTAGTAATTCAGGAAATGAAATAGGTTTAAAAAACAATTAAGTCATAAAAATGAAACTTAACATTTTCTTTGCTGTACTTTTACCGAGTGTTTTTATTAAAGTGAAAATTTTCTTACGTTAACAAAGAACCGCTAATAACCTTTAGGAAATTAGCTTTTAAGTAAATAAAAAATAAATGACTATTTACCTACGTATAATACTTTATATTGGTTCGTTTAACACTAGACATATCTCAAAATAATAGCAAATGCTTTCAGCTGTCATTATTAAGGTTGATATTTCAATGTTTCCTACCTCAGCCATTTTGCCTAAAGCCGGATTAACAACGTTTGATCCAGAGTTATATGTAATCCAAAATTAGTCTTGAACAACTTCCGAAGAGCGTCTATTATTAAAGTCGATTTGAAAGTACGAACTAAATTATTTGTAGAAAATAACATTTGTAAATGAGAACTGTTTACTAGTGACAAAAACTTGATTTTGTTAGCGTTTTGTTTCACCTTGCATTACCATTTCTAATTTTGAGATTGATAACAAAAGTTTGTGTGTACATAACATTTTAGATTGCTTAGTTAAAAACTGTCAGTTTTTTTTTTAAACGATTGATGATTGAAAAAATGTATATACGTATTTACAAATTATGGTATTACACGTCTTTGTTTCATATTGTTCATATTATTATAATAAAGATATTTACCAAAGTAGATTATTAAAAGGTTGTTTACAGGCCGCCAACAGCTGAGTCAAAGAGTCAAACCTCACAATTTCAAACTCTATTGTAAGGTTTGACAAATTTTTGCATATATGCACACGCGACGTGAAATAAAGCATGTTCGTCCTCTCTGCTACCATTCTCGACGATTATGCAATTCAGCTTTTTCAAACTATTTTCAATTCGTCCGTGAATAGCTTAGGCAAAGCAACGTTCACGTCCGCTTGTTTAGGCTGTCCCTAGTTCGCTGTACTATGTGTTTTGCCAGACTGTATAATGCCAGTCAATTTAGCATTCATTTCAACATTCCTTTAGTAGCCTATTGAATTTGTATTACAAATAAAGGTCGGAAAGTAATGTAATGAAATTTTAAATTAAATAATAAAAAAACATCTTTGATCATACGAGTTACTAGTTGTTGCTCCCGACTTCGTTCACGTGAACTCTAGCTAGACAATGTAGCTTTCTAATGGTGAATGAATCTTTGATATCGGCCAAGTAGTTTATGAGTTATTTCAATACATACATAAATACAAATCTTTCCTTTTTATGATTTTTGACCGACTTCCCAAAAGAAGGAGGTATTCAATTCGACGGTATGTCTTTTTTTTTTTTTTATGTGTGTTACGGCATAACTCCGCCGCTAGTGGACCGATTTGGATAATTCTTTTTTTATCCGAAAGGTAATGCTTGCAGGTGGGTCCCATTTTTTTGTTTAATTTTTTAATATAGATATAGATACTAGTATAGATTATACTTATAAAGATATTTCAAACAACTATTGCTTAACTAAGATTGTCCGATGATCCGACGCTGAACCGTTCACTTTTATACAATTTCGATTTAGTGAAAGTATTATGTAATCAATTACAAACGATGACTGCACTATCTACGTGCAAGTATTGCGTTCTAATATGTTGTCTTGAAATAAACATGATTGGATTAATAACTTACGACGCATTTTTATATATTATTTCGATTAGATTCTGTGCAAGATACGTTTAATTTTGTGCGGAATACGTTACGCTGGGTCTGAATATGCGTCAGTTGCCCGCAGTGCAAAACGAGGTTGAGATAAAATGCTTGTATGTATTACAGTTGTTTTACGTATATATAGATGTACATACTCGCTAATATATACATTTCTTTTTATATTTTATATATTATAATAAATCTATAAATTCACATTATTTTTTATACCTAATTTTTTTATTTGTACTCTAAGTCAATAATAAATATTTAGTTAATCTTATACGACTAAGTTTTCAGATGTAAGTAATATTGAAATTAATTAATGCTAAGTATTACACATACAGTAAACAGGGTAAACGCTAAGTAAAGATTGGGGGAGACTAAAAATTCCGGATTTACAGGTTTTTAAACCCTTTTTATGAATAACTCAAAATCTGTAAAAGATTAAAAAATGGAACGATATTAAAGACTCGTCTTAAATATCGATGTCAAGTCATTAACCGACACGTTAAGCTACCCTTTATAGCTTAGGGATTTAAAAATCGAGTCGTCTTAGTGGGATTTTTTCACGGGGCCTCATTTAAAACAGCGACTCGAAGATAAAAAGGGACTGAGCGCGTTCGTAGAGCGCGACTTCCTGATCAAAACACGTCGGAGACTAATGACGGCTTCGCGAATTTTTATGGGGGATTCCTCTACTTGGGCCCCACTGTTTGTTCGAAGATATCCATTAAATTTCTTCCCTCGAGCGACACATTCTTAGTAAGTTGCGACTAGACTAGCGGGGTCTATATTTTTTTATAAAAATAACCAGCTTTCGCCCGCGGAAATGTTCGCGTGGGATTAAAAAAAAACAATAGTGAGCAGCCTAGGTATTCTTCCAGACTACCCTCCATATCTAAACCATATTTAATCGAAATCTGTTCAGCCGTTTAGGCTACAAAACTTTAACCAACATCCAACCATCCATCTAAACTTTCGCATTTAAGTAAAATTGTTTTTTTTTGAACATTTTTATTCTACAACCTAACTGCGGGTTTGAACAAGAAAGTACAAGTTGGTTAACAAAATGCTAGTAACTAAAAATGCTTTAACTAATTGGTTAGGAAATGATACTAGAAATTCTGTGGAAATGTAATTGGATGTTCTTATTTCAAAATACGAAGCGAGCTATTTAAGGTTGCCTTGAAAAGAGCATAAGCAGGCATTTACTCAAGGTATAAAATCAGCATATAATATTTTCTAATTTCGGTACCGGTGTATCTGGCAACTTGCCAGATTCAATTTAATCTTTGTAGTGCGCATTGTGGTCAATTTTGCCACGTTTTCTCGATTCGTGTGCATTGCTGCCGGGTACCGCTCACCGATCTAAACAAATATCATGAAAGATTACTGCGCATGCTTTGATCTTAAATGCGGTTTTCATCATGATGTCAAATTCGTGTTTATTATCTACTATCTTTCGCCCGCGACTCCGTCCGAGTCGAATTAAAAAAAAACAAAAGTGAAGAGCCTATGTGTTCTTCCAGACTATCCTCTACATCTACACCAAATTGCATCGAAATCCGTTCAACCGTTTTGTCTAAAAACTTTAACAAACATCCACCTATATATATAAACTTTTTCATTTATAATATTAATGTGATTTTAAAATAACATACATACACTCTAAAGTTATGAAATTGCTTATTATGATTTTAAAAAGACAAAATGAAAGTTCTACTTTAATTGATCAAGCGTATCGTAAATATTTAAATACTAATAAATAACTATTAAGTTAGTAAATAATAACAACAAACTACTTAATGTAGTCTTACAAATGTGCACTTCATAGATAAATGCTTACCTTCACTTAATCCAGTTAAACAGAGTTTCCGGTGAGTACCTGTACTTAA